AACGTATGCATTAGGAGTTGGGCATTCAAATACTCGAATCTTAAATAAATTCTTAAAAGGTAGACTATCTTTAATTTTTCCAAAAACCGAAAAAAATAACATTTGTATAAAAGTTTCGCCTAATGATCGTGAGCTACTTAGGTTTAAATTTAATCAAATGTTTACATGGATCTCATATCACTTTGGGTTAAAGTTTAAATCATATTGATTAGCTTCTACGTTAACGCTGTTTAAACAAAAAGTAACATTAAAAAGCACTACTTTTGAAAGAAATGTGACTTTTTGAAATTAAAATATTTAAAAAATTATTTTTTTTAAGAAATATATGTATAACCAGATATATTTTCTTTTTAACAAAAATTTTAGGGACGGGATAGCCTGGTCGGTAGGGCACTGGGCCCATGTCCGAGAGCTCGTGGGCTCGATTCTCGCCGGATGAAGACTCACCTTGTAGTAAATGGTGACTGATGCACGTTAAATCTGTCGAGTCACAAAGTCCACCATGTTCCCATGACAAATCAAAACCTCTGGGGGTACTGGATACCTCTGGTTCAGGTCAAAATTGCGATCTGTGAATGAATGAATGTATGTATGAATGTGTCCGCCCTATAAAACGGATGTGACGTATGGTGTGACAGAAGTCGAATTCTTGGCCATAGATGGCGCCACTGGAAAACAAGAACAATAGCGCCCCTCTACCTAAACAGGCATACGAAAGCAAGCAAGCACGTAACAAAAATGTTCATTTATATTTTCAGTCAATTTTCATCAAAATATATACACATTTTTTAATAAGGTTTGGTCTTCAATAATTACATATACTCTGGTTCCAAACCTCCTAGGAAAATCTCTTTTGGCACTTTCATTTTCTTTTTTTTTTCTGCGTGTGGTTTTTCTAAGCTCCTTAAGTAAAATATTTAAAAAAAAAAATAGATTCAAAAATAATAAGGGATTTCAAGTTAAATTAATATTTTTTCCCCTCATACTTTTCATATTCTCTCCATATTTGAAAAAAAAATTTCTGCTTTTTTTTTGCATCGGAATAAGTTTTCAGTTCTAAGTTTGTATTATTGTTTGTAAGTTAGAAGGCAAGAGATAATAAGAGTAACAAAAAGTAGAACGTTCTTTTTCAAAATATACCATCAAAGAGTAAACAGAAAAGTTAAAAAGTCAAACAAGAGTTTAGAAAAAGGAAAAGGCCAGTTTAAACGGGATAATAAGAAAATTAGCAATTTTTACATTTTCTTCTCAAAATACCTGGTTTATTCCCAAGAATGAACCTAGTACTTTCTCAACCTGGTCAATTCTATTGTCATCTCTCGCTCGATTTGTCATGTTTTGCACTGATATGTGTTATTAATGGTATGTTTGATTGTTGCTGAAAGGAGATCCAGTTTCGAATCTAGGATCTTTCCTGGCATTTCTTTAATATGAGGGAAATTATGATTTGGACCATCCCGTTAAACATTTTTTTCTTCCCTATTATTGCATGGTAGAAAAACCTTGTTCAGTTTCTGTCGTTAATTTTGTTATTTCTTAAGGAAATTTCTTTTTATATATATTTTTTTTATTTGTAAAAGTGATTAGCAAATCTGACGTATAGTTGCAGATATACGATTTTATTCTTTGGACTTTTACTCAACAACAATTTTTAAACGTTTACTTTTATACTTTCAACTAATTTGCATCATCAAACTTTATATTTTCGTGTTTAGCATGGGTTAACTTCATAGAGCTGAGATACAACTAGAGCAAGCCCGGCTGTTATAATTCATCTCTCTTCCACCCAAACTTCAATCTCAACAGTCGCGTACTCCCTGTCATTTGGCGATTTTGGCAAAGAAAGAAAGGAGTCGTGTGACAGTTCAGATGAGTTCTCTTTTCTGGTAGATTCGTGTTTTGAACTTTTACAGGAAACGGAGGAATAAACTTCAGAAGCGTAGAAATTACGGAACAGTAATATAATTAATCATTTGTTTGTTGACATTACTTGATAGATGAAAATAATTTTAGAATATCTATTTTTTAATAACTGTACAAATAGTTTACTTTTTTACGAAAATAAGAAAATATTGATTTTTGAATGGTTTTAAAAACTTATCTTAAGATAACCACCTAAAGTTAATTCTCAAGTTTTAAAAATGGTTTAAAATTTTTCACATAATTTACATAAACAAAACAAATGTCCATATTTATAATTGAAGTTAAAAATCAAAGTTGTTTCCTATTAAACTTCAAAGTTCTAAAATTGTCAACAAAAAAAGTACTTCCCATTTAATTAATAATACAGTACCTTTGCTAAAACTTATTTCAGTAATAATTCTCTCTATTAATTTCTTAGATATTTAAAAAAAAAGCAACAATCAATTCAAATTTTATTTTATTATTTAAACTTAGTTTATATTTATTAATTAAGTTATAAAGTGCGTATCACGTTTTAGAATTTATATTAAGAAGTTTCTTAGCGTGCAAAAAAAGCGTGCTTAAAGTTTAATCCAGCCTAGCAAACAATATTAATAAAAATACTGTTATGTAAAAAATATGTAACTTTGTTTTTGATACTTAAAATATCGTGATTTATATTTTTCATGTTGTTGTAAAATTTTCTTGAGTTAGTTTAGCTGCATTAAAATGTAAGGATATGGTATCGGAAGCATTTTTTTTTTCACATTGACGTTAGACAATACAAATCTCAAGCATGTGAGTATTTATATTATCAGCATTGTGTTTATTACGTTAATATTGAATTATTCTGTTGTAATTTGAGAGAAGAAGAATATACTATTTTCATCATGTTTAAAATAATTAAATATGATAGCAAAATAATATAATTAGCATAATAATATAGTAGTATACTAATGATAATAGTGAGAAATTTATTTGATTGACAATATTTAAAATTTAGCTGAGGAACATATACATTACGTATTTACCCATATTTTATAAACAAATCGCGTTTTATTTTCGCTCTATAAATTATATTTAAAATTATAAAAAACAAATTGTTCAATAATTCATTTATAAATTTATTTTGTCTCGTTAAAATGAATATTTTTTTTTATAATTTTAAAGCGAATTAATTCATGAAATTTAATATAATGTATAGTTTTTTTAGATAAAAAATTAAACTATCTTTTAATTTCTGTCAAAGTATAATTTTTATAAGCAGAAAAATATTTTTTTATTATTTAGAAAATTATTTCATAAATTATTTAGGTGATTATTTTATATATTTATGAAACAATTGAGTTATCTTTTAATAAATTCTGTCAATGGATAAAATTTATATTTAGAGAAATATTTTTTATCATTTAGAAAATTATTTCATTATTTAGGACCAATTATTTGAATTTACAAATTTAATTTGGAATTTTTTTTATTTATAATCGTTCATTTATTATTTAGAAAAAAATATTAATTAACTAAAACTAAATTTACATAACCGCATAATTATGAATAAACAAATCGCTCTATTGTTTATTTAAAAATTTATGCTTTCTTTCGTAAAAAAAAAAAAAAAAAAAAAAAAAAAAATGTAACTAGATTTACTCGCAAACTTGGTAGTAGCCAAATTTCGATTTGTAGCAAATTTACTCGCAAAGTTTTTTGGATAAAAATAAATTTTTTTAAAATTAATTTCGTCTATACCTACAATTTATAAGCCGAAAAGTTTTTTCTTATTATCTCCTTACGTCCGAAGTGTCACGAAAAGACATTTACAAGTAAATTATGGCAAGTATCGTTTGGTGACTGTCTGGGGTATCTTGGGAAGGGAAAGTAGTTGAAGGAGATGGGGGTCAGTTAAATTTATTATTTAGGAAAAATTAAACGTCTATAAAAAATATATTTACATGATTCTGTTTGTTTAAATGTACAATTTTATGGCTTCAGTTAGTCGAAGTTGTGGCAATTTATAATTACAATATATATTTTATTTTAATCTTTGTAAAATAAAATGGGAAGGATCTTTCTAAAATAAAAGTAAATATCTATCAATTTTTTATTATTTTAATACAGTCAAACCCCGTTATAGTGAGCATGGTTTATAGTGAACTCCCGGATATAGTGAACGAAATGTTCGCTCCCGTGCCTTACTATACACATATAATATTATTTTTTATGGATATAGTGAACCGAAAGAACTAGGAAATTGGATATTATGAACTTTTTTCTGTCTTCGACTGATTTTCCTTCTTCATTTTTTCGGCATTTTTGAAATTTCTACATAAAATGCATTTGCCAATTTTTGAAACTATCTATTGTTTGGAATGAAGCCATAAGTATTTTTTCTTATTTGCTTCTTCTTACTCAGTTTCTCATCCCTAAATAAATTCCATCCCTAAATTTTTTGTTCTCAAGACGACGAGTAATGAATAATGAAAGTTAACACATTTTTTGTAACTGCATATTGTTTTTTAATTAATTTTGTATTTCTTTTTATTGGTCAATTATTTAAATAATGTAATAAAAAGGTATGTTTCTTAATTATTTTTCTTTCTTAGTTTCAAAGTTTATCTTAAAACAAATTGTCAATAATAGACGAGCCTGAATAATAGACGAGCTATCTCTAACTTCCTCAAAATTACACTTTGCCAATAGTCCATTGTCCAGCTCTATTACGACGTAAATGAACTACTACAACTCAGTTAGCTAATCAATAATGCATGCTAAGTGTTTGACGTCATTTTTTTACAGATATTAGTGGTTTAAGAAATATCTAGTGATGCAAGCTAAATAAAAATAATAATAAATAAATAAACATTGTGGACTCGTCCACAAGGGCCATTCTCATTCGATGCGATTTTTTCGCATCCAGAAAAATCGTATGCAAGTGAGAACCTCACTTCAAGGAGTTTCCCCAGGATAAATATTTTTCACCAATCTGGTTCGTATCCGCTTGCAATTTTTGCGTAAATATTGCCTTTAGTGAGAATGACTCTTTAAAGTGCCAAAATTACCAACTAAGCCGAAAATTAATGGTTGTCGCCCTTTCCTTATGTATATATATATTTTTACAAGCTTCAAGCAACAGTTTTTTCATTTAGAATAGCTACGCTATGTTGCGTAGAGCAACAATACAAAATACCCGCGAAATTATGTTATTGATTATCTTATTTTGTCCGAAATTTATTTATTTTTTAGAAATTCTTAAATTTCTACTATATTACATTCCATATATTTAAGTGTGTTAATGCTTTTGTGAATTTTTTAAGTAGTCACCTTGAATCTTAATAAATTAGATCTTAACTCTTACATTCATTATTTAAATTGTTCCATTGTTTCCTTTAATAGTAATAAAAGCATGTAGTAAAATTTGTTTTAAACTTTACCTTAAGCTATCTTAAAATGTGGAAAGTGTGTGGAAACGAAATTTATTTCAAATTATATTAACACAACAAAATCAACAATTTTCAGTTTGTTCTTATTTTTACGACATTCATTCTCAACGCAGTTGCTTCGTACAATTATAACCACTTAGAGAAAATATGTTTTAATAATTGTTTATTCAGAGAAAATATGTTTTTGTTTCTATTTTCATAACTTAAAATATTGTCTGCAAAAACTAATTAGCACATTTGAAGTCACCCACTCGGACCATTAAGAATGAGTACTAGTATATGACAATCCGATGATTGGATCAGAAGTTATTCAGGTTTTTTTTCTCCCGATCTGTACATTATTATTCTAAAAAACGCTTATAATTATGTTAACACCATATTTAATATCTGATTATTTTGCAGGTAAAACCATCATGATCAACAAGACATTCCTAACAATAGCGAAGTATAATATAGGTAGAAAAACTGCCTTCCACCACAGACCGTGTTTGGTAAGCTTTCACAAAATTAACAAAAATAGACCTAAATAAATGAATTATGTTATATTGAATTTAATTTCCGATTTTTTAATTTCAAATTTTATGTTTTAATTTTTTTTCTTTTGCAATTCTCTCTTTGTTTCTCTCAACCAGAATTTTCATAGGTTATAAATGATTTTTATACAAGAGAATTAATTAATAAATTATTTTTCTTTTTTATTTGCTAATTTATTTGGTTAATTTAATTTAGTATAAATTATCCTTTCACGTATGTACTGCCACAAAATAAGGAAAGGACTTTTCTTCTTTCGAGAAGGTAAAAGTAAATGTTACTTGTGGCCCATGATTTATAAAAACTGCTGAGGGGAGTTTTTGAACAAAGCGGACTGACTCAACACAATCAACCCATTTGAGAATTAAAATAAGCACTTTAAAAAGTCACTGATAAGTAGGCAAATAGATAAATCATACTGAATGTAAACAATTTTATTGATTTTTTAATTTTTTATTTATGATTTTTTATTTTTCTATTTTGTTTATTGACCTTTAATATGCTCCCCTGAAAAATTATGTTTTACTGAAGAATATCAGGGTGGCCACAGACCTGGAATTATCAGGGAATTTTTATATACTGGAAAAGTCAGCGAAATTTGGATTAAAACCTAGGAAAATGAGGAAATTTTAAAAAAAACAGGAGTTTTTTTCTTAATTTAAAATAATTGACCATCAGTTTAATCCACTTGATTTAGGTGGAAATTTATCTTCAAACTGTTGAAATATCATCTACTTAGCTATACTTTGCTTGCATTAAAATTCTCTTCATTATTACCCTGCTAAAAGATCCCTCCACATCTGTTCAAGATGATATATTTAAAAAAAATGAAATTTTAATTAAATACTTTATTGACTCTTTTCTTTTAACCACCCACACTTTATGGGGGGGGGAATTACACTGACTTGGAAATTTTAAGATTTTTACCGGAAAACCTGCAAAAATCAGGGAAATTTGAAACCCGATTTCAGTGGCCACCCTGAATATATATACAATGTTATCCAATTTAACATAATTATTTTCTTGATTTAGACAGTAACACTGTTAAATGATTTTTAATGAAATTCGGCTTGGAAAAAGTTAATGATTGATGTTTATGAGCTCTTGGAAATTATGTTTTATTTCTTGGTACAAGTAATGCATGTTAAATAAGTAAAAAGCTAAATAAATTTTGTATGATTTTCATGCACCGACATATATTCTAAATGGTTTTACATTTTTTTTAATCAACATTAAATGAAACATCAACTAATTAATTTTATATGTGTTTATTTGTTTGTCATATTTTAAAGTTTTAATTGTTTTCTGTTTGAAATTGAAATTAATGGGGGGGAGGAGTGAATCATCATATTTGGAGTGTTTGGCATGCTATAAGATCAACAATGATATGAGTCAGGCACTGCCAAGCGTGCTTCGGAAACGGAGATTAATTTCCGACTGATGCCCTATAGTAATGTGTTAAATAATATTGCTTCCCCACTTTATATAAGTTTATAATATTGCCTGAATAAAGGCTGATAGTAACCACTTCTGACATTTTACAATCCTGTTATATTTTATTTGCATAATTTTGGTGCTGAGAAATTGCCAGCTAATTTCCTACACTAAAACGACTTTAATTTTGATCCTGAAGCGAACAAAAATTTAATTGCATGGCAATTATTGGGGGTTGGCGTGTTTATATATATGTGTGTGTGTATTCATACATAGTGTATATATATATATGTGTATATATATATATATGTGTATATATATATATATGTGTGTGTATATATATATGTGTATATATATATATATATATGTGTATTCATACATATACAGTAGAGAGCGGATTATCCGGAACGATCTGGACCAGCGCTATTACGGATTACTGATTTTTCCAGTTTTCTAAATCGCTACAGAACGCTGTTTTTTTATTGTCAAACTCAACTAAAAATAAAAATTATGTTTAGAAATAATTTTAAAAAGAAGAAAAAACGATAACGTAATACACATAAGTTTAATGAGATAAAAAGGAAAAAAAATAATGAAATAAAAATATATACAGGCTTAATATAAAATGAACAACAAAGGTTAATTGGAAAAAAAATAAAGAAAAAGGGGGGTGGGCTCCATCTTATTCGTTGCTTTCTTCTACTTCATCGTTGTCTGCGTCAGGGCTCAAAACCATCCACTCCATCCAAAAAAATAATAATCCTTCCAAAATTTCTGGAGAAAAGAAAACACAATTTTTTTACTTCATTATTCTCAAATGAGAAGAGAAGAATCGCAAACATTTCTTTCCTCTCCTTTGCACGAGAAAGACATCATTGAAATATAATTCTGGATGAAGAAAAAAAAACAATCTGGAAAATTTCTGGAGAAAAGAAAAATTTTTTTTCACTTCATTATTCTCAAATGAGAAGAGAAAAATTGCGAGCATCTCTTTTCCCTCCTCCTATGCGCTAGAAAGACTTCGTTTGAATATAATTCTGGATGGAAAAAAAATATTACAAAAATATCTGCAGAAGAGAAATTTAAACTTTTTTACTTCACAAATGAAAAATCTTTCTTCAAAAAGCTCTCTTAATGTTCTGCGAAAATATAGCCCGTGATTCTGGCACGTGATTACTGTCTAGAGGAGTTTAACTTGGGTTTCAACATTTTGCGGAAACACTAATCCAAATCAGAAGGAAAAACATGTGTATCACAATCTTATTCCTCATTAATATTAGCTATTTTATTTCTCCTCAACTCCAGTTAAACATAAATTCGCAAGCTGACATAATAAAAAGAATTTATGTTCTGCCTCCTCCTCACACCCCATTCGCAATGAATGAACTAAAAAACAGGTGTAGTTGCAATGCTTGACCTTGAGTCATTATTCCCCTTTGCTGTCGCTATGTTCAAAGGGGGAATAGCAGAAACGACAAATAATTTTTTAAAAAATAAGAAAGCTTAGGAAATAACAGGAAAAAAAGAAACTGTACAGAGATAATAGGAAAAATAGGAGTTCTGCAGTCCCTGTAGGGAGTACTTTAAAAGATTTCTAAGAGTCAAAGAAGACAAATAAAATTATTTGTTTTAACTCTCCTGGACTAAGCAATCAACAGACATGATGACTCCTACTGTGAGAAGCTGGTAGTAATGACTCTCCCTACTTAAGGGCCATATTATATGAAAACAGGTGTTCAATGAGTCACCCTTTCTCTCTGAGCTATGATTGAAAAGAAACAACTTTGTAGGGGGTGAGGAAAGGAATGATTGATGATATTTAGTAGAAGACTCTTACTTCTCTTGGCAGTGTAGGGAACTAATGATTATTTCTAAAATGATGGTAAAGTAAACATCTTTTAAAAAGAAAGAAAAATCGTAAAATCTCATGAGGAAAAAAAATTATTATTATTTTTTTTTAAATGGCGGGAAAATTTATTGAATTTCTTTCCGGTTCTGATTTCTGGATAAGAGGCTCTGTACTGTATATAGTTTTACATATTTTGAAAAAGTTTTTTTGGCTATTTCATTTACATTTTAGATATAGAAAGTTTATTACGGCGATACCGCTTGCCATTTGAGCAAATATTAATGAATATATATCCTATTGCAGATAAGCTACTTGAACATTATAATATGGCACTGCATTTTTATCAAAGAATGTGACTTGAGAAGTTTGAGATTTTGTAAAACTTCAAATCTGTTTGTCCAAGTTTGTAAATTGTCATTTCAGTATTCCTATGTTTTCATTCGTTTTTAGTGCTCGAAAGTTAGAGATTATTCTTTCACACTTTAAAATTTAAAAAATTTCCCTAACTGTTAAATCTCTATCCATTAATGACTCAAGTATTTATTTTTGAAAAAAAGATGAGCTTAAACCTTTTTAAAATATTACAAAATTTCAAAAAATCCATCTTATAACAAAAAAAGAAAAGAAAATGAAGAGGCCTTTTAGTTTTATTTGCTTGATAATTTTAATAATTTTATTTTAAATAAGTTTTTAAATATAATATAAGTAATTTTAGTGATATGTTTACATTTTAAATACTAATACTAAGTAAGCTTTAGACTGGTTAAAATTTATCTGCTTATAATATTGAATCAAAACAAGAACAAAAAGAAAAAACTAATAACAAGAATTCCTTTAAAATAAATTTAAGCTTAATTTTTTTTAAAAATGCATTACATACTGCCCTTTAAAGTATATTAGTTGAATGTTCATCTTAACATTACATTTTTCTTTGCTGCGCAGAACCATAAAACTTAAAAACTTGAAATTACAAAATGAGCATTCTTAAGTTTAAATATTTCTTTTTCAGTTGATTATTTTTCAAATCAATGTAATTATTCATTTTGTTATGATTAACATTTTAGCAAAATGTTCTTTCATAAGGTTATAATAGTTATTTATTTTATAAATAAAATTATCAGTTTTGGAAGGAGAGAAGTATCGAATTTTAAGGAAAAAAGATGAATGAGAGATGCCCCAAAGGAGTTTGCAAACAGAGTGAGCAGGAGACAGAGTCTCCTAGTAAAAATATATAAATATAAATTCATTTTGTTTCATTTTAGGGCCGTTTACTAGAAATAATGACTATACCTGAAGCAGAAAGGATTGAACATTTAATGCAGAAAAGAAAGATGAAGAGGACATCCAAACAAACAATGAATTTAGAAAGGATGAATTGATGCATCAATAAAACGTAAGCTTCTCAATTATAATCACCAAAATTTAAAATTAAGTTTTGTTTCAGAGATGCCAACTTGCTCCTGACAGCGGATAAGTATTTCTTAGTATTAGTCTTCTAATGCATAATTCTTGGTTTAATACATTCGATTTATAGGGATATTACTCACCACTATTTCTAAATAGTTTAAAGGCATATGTGATGCACCTCTTTATTACAGTTTAACACTGCTTTGAACCTTTTAAGTAATTTTCAAAATTAACCGAAAATATGCACATTTTAGTTCTCTGCCGTTTTTTTTTTTTTTTTCTAATTTTTTCAAATCTGTAGCATATCTTTGGAAATTTTATGATTTATTTGTAACAGATTTTGTTCACATTCCCGATTTTGTTTAACATGATATAAAATGTTTTACATTAATTTCTTTATATTCTAATTCGTTAAATTGTATTATATCTTCTTCTTTTGGGGGTTAATGCCTGCCGCCTTCACGTGGTGTCCCCTGGATAGCCCTCACTAGGTAACTAAATAGCAGGCAAACTCTATGATGGACCAGGGTAATGCTTGTGATATGACATCATCCTTTGCGTTAGTTAGCAAGGGATGCTTTCAGGAATTAGGCAGTGGTTCTAGTTCGAAAAGTTCGCTACAATCTCCAGTAGCACATGGTAAGCCGTCGGGTTATCCCTGTATTAATATCGCTCCTTAGCCGCTTCTTGCTAGTAATGCTGGTGAGGAGGTGTCCAAAAGCACAGGACCTGCTTCTGTTGGTGTCTCTGGTTTTGGCCTCAGGCACAGTATGCCTGACGCCGCTGGACTATCCAAGAGCCAGCAAAGGAAACTGGAGAAAAAGTTGAAAGCTGCTGAGATGAGTGGCAGAGCTAAGAGACCTAGTCTTTCGGATGCAACGCCCTCTCCCAGTATGCCAACCCAAATTGGAAAGAAGCCCAAAGAGGATGTTGCTCCTGGGAGGAGAACCTAATCCAGGGAAGTGGTCCCTCTAAGTAGGGATAGCCAAACTGGAGAGGGGGACCCAACTGGGAGCGTCCAATCTGCAGTTTCTTTTGCCCATGCAACCAGATCAACCCAGATTGCTACTGTTAGGAAGGACTTTCCTTCGGACAAGCTTTCTCTGGGAGATTCTGATAATATTCTCAGGAGGATCTTAGAGCTGACTGACGCCATTCCCCTTAGCAAAAGGATGCTCAGCAACAACCTACTGTGAGGGGCTTTGATTCTCCAGTGTAGTGATTACACGGTGGATTACACTGGAGCCACTTTAATGAGAAATCCTTGGGTGACATCACGCTTAGAGTTCTAAATGCTGATGAGTTGCCCAATCCTGTGAAGGTGGCCTTTGAGACCATGGAAAAGTTCTCCAATCAGGGCACCTTCTTAAGAGGTCTTCAGCAACTTAACCCAGGGTGGAAGTCAATTAGGTGAAATGTTCTGCTGAATGCTGTGAGACCGGCACCTCTAGATAGATCTTTGTGGTTGAGCCTGAAGATGTTGAGGACATAGTAAGAGCTGTCTATATTGCTTTCACTGGTGTGGATCATGGAGTCTTTAAAATCATCCACAATCTGAATAAGAAGGGGGCAGCAGAGGCTCGAATAACATCGGATGTCCTCTTTTCACACCTGAAGATTAGGTAGTTACCATTCTGTTTTTTTTAAATCTTGAACCAATCGAGGCAACAGTAACAATCAAGGTTGGTCAAATTAATCTCCATCATAGCCTTGTTGCCTCTTGGCTAAAGGGCTGAATGATGGATAATTAGATATTGCTCTTATACAAAGGCCTTGGACTGAAAGGGTAGAATTATGGGTCTCAACGTCAAGGGTTTTAATACTTTTTATGATACCTGTCTTGACCCTCCCAGGGCCTGCATATTGGCTAATTATAATCTAAATGCCCTTAACCTTGTCAACTTTCTCCATAGGGATTTAGTTACTGTTAAGTTAAAATTCTATGGCAAAGAAACAGTTTCTGACTTAGTCATTGTTGCCCACAAGCCCTTTAAGATCCATTTTCCAGCAAGAGATGAATGCCTTAATTCTTTTCGGTTGCTTAAAGTCATATGTCTTATATGGTACACTGATGGTTCAAGGCTTGGTCTTAAATCAGGGGCAGGAATTTATTACTCCAATGACTGTACCAAACTTCACTTTCCCCTAGTTATGCCAGTGTCTTTGAGGCTGAGGTCTATGCCATCATCTTGTGTTGCAAGACGTGCTTAGACAGGGTATATCAAAATATGCCTATTCTCATCTGTTCCGACAGTCGGGCTGGTCTCCTATCACTATCAAGGTGCAAATTCACCTCTTTACTAGTGTGGGAGTGCTTCTCTGTCCTCTGTGACCTCTCTTCATGATAAAGTATATCTACATTGGGTACCTGAACACATGGGTATTCTTGGAAATGAGCTGCCTGATGAAGCAGCATGGGCTGGATCTAATGCGCTTTTCTGGAGCCATGAACCAGCCTTGGGAATCTCTCCTACATCATTCAGGGCATCTATAATCTAGCTCTATGGCAAAATTCCCCAAAAAGAATTACGCAACTTGGATAGTTGGAGACAAGCTAAAGAGCTGAATGGTGACTGTCCTAATGTGCGTCAAAAAGAGCTCCTTAAGCTAAACAGGAACAGATTGAGGAAGATCATTTGTCTTCTCACTGGACACTGCACCCTCAGGAGACACCTATACATAGTGGGTATTGAATCTAATTCTCTTTGTCGAGGTAGTCATCTTGAGGAAGAGACTTTACGACATATACTTTGTGATTATGAGGTCTGTTCTGCTCTAAGATTTGAGCATTCCGGGCAACATTGCATTACAGCTGTAAGGCTTTCTTGTTAATCATGATTTAGGGTTTGGGTACACAGACGTGCCAACTCTCCTGCATTTTTCGGGAGTCTCCCGAATTTTGAGTTATTCTCCCGCCCTCCGGAATTGATTCGAAAAACTCCCGAATTTTACTGCAATCGACGGCCAAGCTCAAAATTACCTAATTTTTCCACGAGTGCTGAAGTTTTGTTTTTTTTCAGCGTGAATTCCATCCCCTCTTATCGAACTACCATCTGCCTGACGCGTAGCTGCACATGTTTTATTTCCCCCCTCTTTAACACTATTTCACCCGCCCCCTTACACTAAGATTCGTAGGAATCTTCTTCCTCTCCTTTCGTGTGGAGTTGAATGCGATGACGTCACATGACGATATCTAGTGACATCTGTACAGGAGTGGGGAAACTCGTACTCTCGATAGTTGGAATTGATATCGTATCTTGCTGTTTTTATAGTTTTTAATGCATATTTTTCAACGGTTAGCAACGTGATATCCATCATTCGTTTAGTCTTCGCATATTTAAAAAAAAAATTTTACCAGGATGTCTAAGTCGAAATGGAAGTATGCAACCAATTTCAACAAATCACGTACCAATGACTTAAGCAAGACTTAATTGCGAAGAGCTAAATCTGCAACTCTTAATTTTTGGCATAACAACCTCTATGAATATTAAATACCAATTCTCTAGTATATAAGACATGTTAACTTGATTCTATCTTGAGGTACTTTTTGATAGATGAAGGTTGTCATAGTCTAAGATTAAACTCGTTCAAATTCTTAAATTTCTGTTTAAAATGTGTTTTTATTTCAAAGCTGGTGGTTATCATATTTCAATTTTTTTTTAATTTGTTGATAAAATAACCCTATTAAGTTTCATTAATTCTCTATATTTTTTGAAGAGAAAAAGCATTTAACAATTTGAGTAATTTTATTTGCCCTAGATCATTTTTTTGAACTTAGTTAAATTTTTTATGCATGCAGTGGAGAACCATTTATTCGGTATCCAGACATTCCGGGAAAAAAAAAATTTCTGTTCTCCCGCCATTTTGAACTAAAACGATATGAAAAAAAAAAGCGGAAATTGGACTCATCCTTGAAGTTGAGTAGAGGAAAATGTGAGGAAGTTCCCCCGTTTACACAGAGAAACATCATTTCTTCCACGACATTGAAGGTTTTAGATCTTTATTTTCTCCTTTAGGCCGTTAATCAAACTCAAAGGAGTGGCATGCTGATTTCGTTTTCTGTTTGATTTACAAGGGGGTGGGGAAAATGCATTGCACATTCATATCAGTGAATAGAAGATGAAAGAAAAAAATATATTTATCTATTTGACATTGATTAATAAAAATAAAATATTTTTCTTTTGAATAAATTCTGATTCTTTGGAAGTGCAGTATCATTCGCAAGTTTTTCTTGATGTGGAATCACACCTGCTTTAATTAAAAATCGTGTTTTTATAAAAATAAAAGGAGAATTGTTTATTAATTTAAACATACAATTATTTTATGAAGCAGATTGCAGTTTCGTTTTTCTGATTCCACTACGTTTGATTTTTTTTTTCCTTTTCATTATAAATTTTGCACTCAATAAAATATTTTTATTCCTAAATTTTATCATTAGGTTTTTTTTTTTTAATTCCGTTGATCTTGCCTTGTTCTAGGTTTTAATATTTATGCTACTGCCTTTTTTTAACTATCGCTTTGGTTCGATAATTTTCAAGTGTTGTTTTTATTTAGATTAATAAGTTTTCCTTTTATTTATTGTCCCCCCCTCGTATAATTAGGTATGAAATATATTGCGTTATTTATTAATCATTGATTTTGTTTATCAGTTAATTTAGGAATTGTAATTATTTTTAATAAATAAATATGAGAATTTTAAATTTTTTAAACTTGTTTTTCTTGTCTAAACTTGCAAATTTTTTTATTCTTTTAAATGTTATTTTTCTATAATTTATTTCCTTTTTTGATTTAGGTGTGCTTTTTTTTTTCTCTTACTTTAAAATGTGTTTACACTTTTTCCTTGCAATTCGGGTTCGATAAAACATCGATTAACGACACTTTTTAATCGATCCAGAAAACCAGGAAATTAAGACATCCGGGATAGCGATGGTCCCGAGCATCCCGGATAATTGGTTCTCTATTGTACAGACATTAGTATTATTATGC